GGTCTCTGTGTCCACTGATTCTAAGACTTGTTCAGTGTTCATGGTGCTCAGTTCAATCTTTTTAGTTTACTCTGGGTATTTGAGGCTGAAAAAGAACTCTTCAATTTTCAAATCTATTCCAGGATTCTGGGTTGGGCCAGATGGTAACTGAGAGTCAGGTCCAGGATTCATGTCACATCCAGGATTGGTGTCAGAAAAAATGCCATGATTATCCAATGTCTGACAAGGCAGATTACTTGACAGATGTTTTCTAACTATTTAGTAGGTCTGTGGTTTGTGTCTATCTGTCATGTTCTGTGAAGGAAGCATACTATTCTATGCACTGAAGTTCATAATTGTTGTGGATTTCTCAGTGTCTTAGGGTCATTCTGAGGTAACAAATTTACTGTTGGTGCTACTAAACTGTGGTTTATCTTCTAATATTATCTGTAGCAACATCGTATGATGAATGAACACTCTCAAAAATGTCTCTGCACTTTCTGGGTTAGTCCACGAATATGTGGTAATCTGTGGGTCTTTGAGTCCCTTTGGCTTGAGATTCTCTGCAGTCCCCACCTGATTGGAAACAAGCATCTATTAACACATCAGTCTGAGCACTATAGATGGCATTACCTTAGAGCTGAACACATATGGGAAGATACACTGAGAATCAAACAACAAATTAGTTTGAGGACAAGACCACACAGAGGTTTCAGGGCTAATCCACTGTGAGTAAGACATAAAGCTGTATGAGGCATTAGATAGGCCTGTCAGTACATTGATTGGAGAAATTCTGTTCTTTTGACATGTGTTCCCTAGTTCTTATAAAGAATTAGATGGATTTTTACCCAAGTTCACTTGAACATCTGTACTAACAGGCTCAATTTTAGAAAGAGGTAGGCTCTCCTTAGGACAGCAAGCCTCTGAATCTAGGCTGAGGATAAGAGTTGCTATAGACAAGGGCAGTAAGTGCACAGCCCCTGTGGCAGAGCCCTGCTGGGCACCGAACACCACAGGCTGGGTGGAGGAGTCGGCTGTGGCCACGAAGACAGGTATAGGAGAAAACTACATCACTAGTAGTTTAACCAAAGCCCCTTAGATACTGGTAGAAGCACCTTCTGGGAATATCTCGGAAGTGTTGGAAGAGTTTGCTTTCTGGCAGTAGAGCTGCAAAATTCTTCAAAAGAGGCTATTAGCCTTACTTCTGGTCTAAAGATTGGCTGCCTGCTCAATGATTCCATGGTCTTACTGGGCAACATCTGGCTATGCAGACAGTTCTCCATTTTCATGTTCGTACTAGGTGGATCCCTTTGTTCCTCACAGATCTCATGGCTGTTTCAGTAGATGTGAGACTGTAAAGTGATTCCATTCCATACCATACAAATTCCTGCACTTACTATATTTATACTTCTTCTCAGCATGTATTTTCATAAAATGCTGTTTTACAACAGAAAAATCAAGAAAATGGTTTGCCACAGCCTTGGACTTCCTTCAATTAGACACCAATAGAATTTCTGTAGAGTTTTCAAATCTTTTATTTTTGTTAGATTTACTTTGCTGTCCTGAAGGCGGTGGCTCTTGACAAGGTATATATTGAGCATGGGCTGTTGGGCAGGATCTTGCCACAGCTGCACATGGTTCACAGGTTGTTGGTCTGCTTGGCTCAGGATAGGTCGCTCTCAGAGAGCAGCATCAGCACTTGGGCCCGGCTGCCCCTTTGCACCTTAGCTAAGGTCCCTAGGGCCCCTACAGTCTCTAGGTGGCAACAGGTCCCCTGAAGGCTGTCAGGACTATGCAGACAGCCATGGTCACCCCCTCAGAGGTCACCATGCTTCTCCACGGCCCTCTTGTGTGTCTTTTGTCGCATTTGTCCCTATACTTTCCTGTGCTTATTAGTAATGAATAATTTATATAGTATTGTAAATTTTAATTTCTGAATATTCATTACTAGTATATAGAAATACAATTGATTTTTGAATATTGATCCTATAATATGTAAACTTGATAAAACTCATTTATCTATCATTTAGTTCTAGTAGCTTTTTGGTAGATTCCATTAAATTTCCATATGGACAATCATATCTTTTAAAAAATATATTTATTTATATTAAATTTTCTGCTATGTTATTATTTGTTCACACATCCATATATGCACATTGCTACTCTTTTATACATTTAATTATCTTTTGGATTAATTTAAAAGAAAAATAATATTTTCTGTATGAATTTTTATTTTAACTATTTTCAGGCATCTTTATTTCTTTGTGTAGCATTAAATTTCTCTACAGCATCATGTTCTTTTTACATGAAGATCTTCCTTTCATAGTTTTCTTTTTCTGTATGTCTGATGTTAATGAATTTTCTCAGCTTTTGTGTTAAAGGTTTTTATTTCACCTTTCTTTTTTCCTTGTGCTCCAAGGCTGCTTCTTTTTTAAGATAAGAGTGATGAGTAATGTGGAGATTAAGAGCAAGAACAACATTGACATTCACCTTCTTTCCATCCTGTCTCCCCAGAACTCCCTACTCTCCTTTTTGAGTTCTCAACTTCTTTTATGAATCAAGAACTTAATCCCCAAATTCCTGTGACAAATCCCTGGGCCTTGTTTCCTTAGTTTCTCCCCTTTCCTCTGCCCCACTTGTTCCTTTCCTAAGAAGGAGTTTGAATGCACGGGGTGTAGGGGGGTGTCCTGAGTGCTGACCTGGGCAGAGGGAAATGCTTCACCCTCAACGGTGAAAGAAACTGAGGAGTAGAGTATTGAAGTGATTGTCCTCACACTTTTAGGTACCAAAACAGGGCCGTGGTGCCAGAGGAAAGCATACTGGTACTGTGAAAGGAGACTCAGCAGCTTCAAAATCCTGTCATTGAGAACAGTCATTGCTTGGTCAGTTTCCTTTCTTATGTTGATTTCAGAACCACACTCAGACCATGCACTTCTTAATCTTGATTGCTTGGACCTGTGTGATCAACTTTTGGAATGCTATAGGATGGTCTTCATGATGCTGATGATTTTAGTTGTTGTCAGTTTGCTCCATTGACTTCTATAGCAGGAGCCATAGCTTATGTGCTTGAAACTGTGCTGCAGAGCCTCAAAAGAGCAAAAGTTAGTTTGGCCGAACACCTTCTTGCAGGGTGATAGCCTTGTGCTTCAGGAGCTTGGAAAATTGCTTTAGATCTTTCTGTTGAGTTTTGATGTCTTAATCCTGGTCCTGGCCTAGTTCTTGGGCTTAGAGGACTCCAGTTGGCATGGGGCACTAGCCCCATTTCAATCTGAAATACACAGTATTTCATTCCTCTGCAGAACTCACTCAGCATAGAGCACCTGGAATCCCCCACACCTCAGCACCCACTCAACACCTGCCCAAATCCTGGCCCATTGTGGGGAAGGAAGGGGAAGCAGGAGAGGCAGGAGATACTACTCAACTAGGTCAGAGGTTAACACAGCCCAGCTTCTGCCCTCCTGGCCCATCACTTCCACCATATGGTTCAGGTGAAAAGGCAAAAACCAACGCCACTTGTTCAGTCATGGAGAAGGAAAGCCCATAAGCAAGTACCTGGGCCATATTCATTTCAGGGAAGTATTTTTTGTTGACTATTTAATTCTGAGTTGACATGTTTCCCCTACCCAATTTAAAATATGTCAATCACTCTGGCTTGTGCACTTTTTCTTCCTCTCGCCCTTCAAACTTTTCTTTTTATCTTTGATTCTGAAATATTTCAATTTAATGTATCTAAATTTTTATATGTTTTTATTTGTTCATGATTTAATTTGATTGTTTTTGCATTTATCTTGCTTGAGTTTCTATGAGTTTCTCTGGTTTTGTAACTTTCATTATTTTTGGAAAATTCTTCAATACTTCTTCAGCCTAACTCCCTTCTCTGTTAGGATTCCAATTACATAGACTTTTGATGAATTGATACTTTTTCATAACATTTGAATGTTCTGTTTGGGTTTTACTCTTTTTCTTTAATTTTAATAGTATCTATTGATCTATGTTCAGGTTCACTGTCCTTTCCTCTGATGTGTCTAATTTACCAATGGGCTAATCCAAGGCATTCTTTACCTATGTTCTCATATTTTTTAAAAAAACTTCCACTTAAGTATTGATCAGTTAACACCAATTTGATGGTGAGTACATGTGGTGCTTGTGTTTCCATTCTCGTGATACTTCATTAGTAGACTGGGTTCCAGCTCAGTAATAACATTCATCAGGTGTCGGGCAGATGGGTGGGGGGAGGAGGGAATGGGTATACACATACATAATGAGGGTAATGCGCACCGTCTGGAGGATAGACACGCTTGAAGCTCTGACTGGGGGTGTGGAGGGCAAGGGCAATATACGTAACATAAACATTTGTACCCCCATAATATGCTTAAATAAAAAATGATGTTAGCATTTGGGGAAGCTAAGTGAAGGGCAAAAGGAACTCTGTGTACTATTTTTGCAACTTTTTTGTAAACCTAAAATTATAAATTATTTCAAAATAAAAATTTTTTAAAGGATTTTCTTCTAAAAAAATTTTTTTAAAACCCTTCATTTTTCTTAATATTTCTCACTTCTATTTCAGGAACACTGTAATAATCTGAGTTTTTATTGTTTTATTATTGTATGGTGGAGTATTACAGAGCCTTATTAACACACAGGCCCAGTGCAGTGAGCCATGAACTAAATGACTTGCACTTATATACTAGCCTCCCTTGTTGTCAATTATTCAGTGGAATTTGGGTGAGGGGTCCCTGGCAAATAAAAGATATTCAAAGACTAAATGTCCAGATAACAAAAAAGTAAACCATTTTTATATAAATCAACTGTGGATGATGTGAAGACACTTCAAGTGGACCCAGTAAATGTAGTACAGAGCCAGTAAACATAGTACAAAGCTGGGTTCCATCACAGAGCATGAGTACATCCTGACCACTAGCCCAGTGATAAAAGGCAGGGTCATGACTAATCCAGAAGACTCCATGACTTGTTTATGCAAAAGGTGAAAGAAAAGATTTGAAATTTCCTTAAAGAACTGTTTACTTCTTTGTAACTCTTCTTAAGGCAGCCATAACTTCTTTATTTCTCAAACTGTAAATAAACGGGTTCAGTAGGGGAATTATAATCGTGTAAAATAGAGAATACATTTTGTCCTGATCTTCAGCTAGGCCAGATGCAGGACGCACATACATGAAGATGAGAGTTCCATAGTATAACGAGACTGAAAGCAGATGAGCACTGCATGTGGAAAAGGCTTTGCTTCTGCCTTTTTCAGACTTTTTTTTCAGAATATCAAAGAGCACACGCATATAAGAGATTATGATAGTCATTAAAGTGGATATTTGTATGAGAGCTGCAAAAATAAATATTAGTAGTGCATTAATAGATGAGTCATTGCATGAAATTTTGAAGAGTTGTACAATTTCACAGTAGAAATAATGTATTATATTAGACCTGCAAAAAGTTAATCTTAATAGCAAACTCACATGAACCAGGGGATGCAGAAAACCAATTGCATATGAAACACTTATCAATTGAGTGCAGAGTTTGCTAGACATCATGACTGGATAAAGCAAAGGGTTACATATGGCTACATAGCGGTCATAGGCCATCACTACCAGGAGGAAGCATTCTGTTGTTGCACTGGAAGCAAAAAAGTAAAACTGAGTGATGCACTCAGCTAGGGATATCATTGCAGTCTTGTCTAAGAAATTGACCAGCATCCTGGGGGTCACAGAAGTGGAAGTACAAACATCTACAAAGGCTAACCCACCAAGAAATAAGTACATAGGTGTCTGAAGATGAGGGTCCTTCCAAATTAGAGCCATCAGTCCAAGGTTGCCCACCATGGTGATGAGGTAGACCATGAAGAACACAACGAAGAAGAGAACCTGCAGCCATGGTTGATCTGTAAGTCCTGTGAGAACAAACTCTGTCACAAGAGTCTTATTTCTTGCTGACATAGCCACACTTGTCGCTGTAATAAGAAAATGTGTGACAAATATAATCAGTGAAAATAACACAAAGCAGTGGCATTTTATTTGTGAGTTAATCTATACTTTTGAGTTTCCAATTTTTAATTGATGGTTTCTAAGTTTAACTTTCATCCCTCAGTAAGATTTGTTTACAAAGTCTGTGTTTGGGTATCTGACCCTAAAATTGGAAAATACTGAAATGAATGCAAATATTTGAGGTATATGAGAGGTGAAATTTGCCTCTACCCTCTTAAAGTTTTTGGCTGGACTGAGAATTAGATATAAGACAGGTTAGCAGGAGGAAAACATGCAAATTTATATAAATTTACATGACATGAATGTCCTCATAAGTAAATTAAGACCCAAACAAGTGGTAAACTAAATACTTTAATACTACGTTGAACAAACAGAGGCAACTGTGAAAAAGCAGCTAAAGTATGTGAGAAGGCAAAAGGAAGACAGGAATTATTTTAATAAGCTTTGTTTGTACAGAATTCTCTTAGATATAACCCCTCAAATAAAAGAAAACAAAGTTTCTTTTCTCCTGTTACCGGAAGTGCATCTTTCACATGGGAGTTTTTAATCTCCTGTTTTTAGGAAGAAAAGGAGAGATTCACGTGCCCTTCTTCCATCTGTTGCTTTTTTATGTGCCTTTACCTCAAAACAACCCATATGCCTAAATTTCATATTTTGGAGTGGCTTGTTTGCCACCCTTCAGTGGCAATATTAAAACCAGGTAGAAGACCATTGCATGGTAAAGAGATGCAAATCTAAAACCATTGTATGTGAAAGAGAAATAGACTACTCATTGAATGTAGGAACAACTACTTAATTTTTATGGCATGGCAGAAGAATCTATGAACAATGTGAAAGAACAAAAAATATGTTGGGAAAATATCTGTAACATAATTTGCATATATAAGGTTAATACTATAAAACATACACAAAACTTATACTTTATTATAACTTAGTGAAAATAAGTTAGAGAACTCAATTTAAAAATGGGTAAAAAATATGAACAGTCATGTTTACAGAATAGCAAGTGAACATGACCAATAAATATATGAAACAATACCAACTAATATATGAAACAACCACTTTAATAATCAGGGATATTTTAAAAATTGATGCATCATTTTCACTTGTCAGATAAGCAAAAAAGTAAAATGAGAAATAACATCTGCTGATGACAGGAAAGTGACAAAAGAATCACTCTAATATAACTGGTGAAAATGTAAAATGTAAAAACCTTTTTAATCTGGACATTATCTATCAAAATTAATAATTTAAAAAACCTGTGGTCTAACAATCTCACTCCTGGATACATGTGCTAGAAATAATGTTACCCATACACAAGAATGAAAAACAGATGTCTGATAAAGCGTTGTTAATGAAGGCAAAGTCTGGAAACAAAAAACCCTCATCAACCAACCATAGAATTACTGTATAAATTATGGTATAGTCTGCCTATGGGATATTATTCACATGCAAAGGAAATGCATTTGAATTATAATAGGAGAATTTTCTCAATGCATTATTAAGCAAAAAAAAAAATGTAAAGAAGTTTAAATTACTTGCCCCATTAAGCTTTTTGTTTATATATATAAATAAATGTCATGATATGAGCATGGATAAAGACTGATTTGTTTTCATGAATTATAAGCTATCTCTCAAAGAACTTCCAGGATAAGATTTCCCAAATATTCTGGGGTAAATGTATATAAAAGGATGGTTACCTGCATATTTCTATAAGTAATAATAATAACATGATAATATGATATTTTTACCTTTAGCAAAGAGTATTTGACACTGATAACTATACTGTAAAATTAGGAATAAATAATCCTTAACTTTTTCTTATAAAATATCTATTAATGATCTTTTATGTTTCATGATATTTTCCAAATATTAAATAATTGGTAATAGATATAATTATTGAGAGCAGGTATGATTTTTTTAAGCAGTCAAAAATATCTGAAAATTATATGATAGTGTCCAAAGTATAGTTATCATTTTCATAGTTTTTTCATACACTTCCAATACTTATTATATTTTATTCTTAAGTGTTTTGTAGGTTTTGTTGCTATTATGAATATAATATCTGATATTTTCATGACATAATAATATTGATTTTCTTCTATGACTTATAAACTATCTCTGAAAGAACATCCAGAGTAGAATTTCCCAAATATTTTGAGGTGAATGTATAACCCTATGTTCCTTGAAAGGGAAACAAAGATATATTTAATACAAATAATAAGAGTGGAAAAAAATCATAATTTATTCACTTCAAAAAAAATTTCTTAATTTCATAGCTCATACCTCTTGACACTTATAATACATAGAAATGTAATATTAGAATGAATTAGAAGAACTGAGTTTGTTTAATCAATGGGAAGAATGATGAGTTGTTATTCTCCATCTTCACTAAGCTGAAAAAAAGATTAAATAAGTTTAAAAAACTAAACACATACCCACAGGCATCCCTATTATAATACACACAACCTAAAAAATTCACTGGAGTGTATTTGCTGAAAATAGGTTATGTGGATGTTATGGAAATGTAGTTTTCTTTCCAAAGTGGAGATTTTGTCCTAAATAAAGTGGTTTGGCTTTCTTTGCAACCCAAAACGTCAAATAATAGATATTTCTAGTCTCACATTATGAATTGAGTATAATTAAACCAAGAAGTAATAAGGTTTGGGAATTGTTTTCTTTAAGATTAATATGAAAAAAATACCTACAGGTTGCAGTAAAGGAGATAATGCTAGCTGTATTTATTGACTTTAGCCCTTATTCTCATGATTCCATAAAATTTTTAAAGCTATGTATAATAAACAGCCACAAAATCAAGGATAAGATTATTTACATTCTGCAAAATCACAAATAATGTAGAAACAAGCTACATGGCTTGTGCCTCAATTCTAAATTTTCTATACTATAAAATAATATAATAATATAAAAATAATTTTAAAGTTATTGAATCATTCTTATCATGATTGAGTTTCCCATTTACTTCCTTCTTCTATTAAAATTTATTATTTATGAAATTTTGTGATATACATTTCTCCTCTACAGTAAGACATTCTCTCCTATCTGTCTAAATTTTGATGTCTGGTTGAGAATAATCTCAATGCCTCAATGGAATTTTAATTTCTCACATAGATATCTCATTATCATCTAAAGACAATGCAAAACTCTAAATAATAAAAAACTGTAGAAATCACTGTCTTCTCACCCAGTTCCTGCAAAAGCATTGGGAAAAGGAAAGTGATACATTTCCGGAAGTAGTATAGAAAATGCAGAAATCAGGCAGTGATTACTTACACATTGATTTTTACTAGTAACTTCAAAATGAATGCAGATAATATGTAGTACTTTTATTTCCAAACTTGTTCTTTAAAAAAAGGGAAAAGGAAAGAAAAATATTCCCTCTACGCTTCCAAAGGATTCCCTGTAGGATGAAGTCAAATTTGTTCTACTGGGCATTGTGAGTTAATCATCATTTCACCCCTACAGCTGACTGTAACCATTAAAAACTGTTGTAATCCAAAGGGATTACTGTGGGGGCATCTGTACAAAACTTTTAATAAACACGTTAGGAAATGTTTGTTTTTCTGTTCTCTTCTTTCCATTTACATGGCATCATCCAAATACCTCCTTGGCATGTTTCTTTGGAAGTCTAAAAGGTACATTAGGATCACCATGTCCAAATTTAAAATTGGGATCATCTGTTACCTCACTTCTCCAACCCTGGTTGTTCTTCCAGTGTTCTTTATCTTGGGGAATAACACAATTAAACAATCAGTTATGCAAGTCATAAATTAGGAAGATATCCTTGACACTGAACTCTCCTTCAAACTCTAAGGATCAATGATTGCCAAGTCATATAAATTTTATCTCCTAAAATCTCTATCTTTCTAGAAATGTATCCATTTACTCTAAATTATTTTATTTGTTGGTATAGAGTTGTTACATACTATTCCTCTATAACTCTTTTTATTTCTGTATGGTCAATGGTGACATTCCTTCCTTGATTCCTTGTTTTAGTTATTTAAGTCTCTTTTTTCAAGAGTTTCTTTTATTATTTTTTTAATTTCAGCATATTATGGGGGTACAAATTTTAAGGTTGTATATAATGCCCTTGCCCCCTCCCCCGATCCCACAAGTCTGAGCTTTAAGCTCAGACTTAAAGTGACCATCCCCCAAACGGTGCACATCTCGTTATAAACCCGTCCCCTCCTCCTGCCTCCCACCTGCCCAATACCCAATAAATATAATTCCTATGTGTCCACTTAGGTGCTGGTCAGTTAATACCAATTTGCTGGTGAGTATATGTGGTGCTTGTTTTTCCATTCTTGGGATATTTCACTTAGTAGTATGGGTTCTAGCTCTATCCAGGAAAATACAAGATGTGCTGTATCACCATTGTTTCTTAGAGCTGAATAGTACTTCATGGGATACATATACCACATTTTATTAATGCACTCATGTATGGATGGGCACTTGGGTTGGTTCCACAGCTTTGCAATTGTGAATTGTGCTGCTATAAACATTCAAGTGCAGGTGTCTTTTTTGTAGATTGTCCTTTGTTCTTTTGCGTAGATGCCCAGTAGTGGGATTGCTGGATCAAATGGTAGATCTACTTGTATCGCTTTAAGGTATCTCCATATTGCTTTCCACAGAGGTTGAACTAGTTTGCAGTCCCACCAGCAGTGTAGGAGTGTTCCTATCTCTTCGCATCCATGCCAACATTTATTGTCACGAAAATCAGCAAGAAAAAAATCGAACAACCCTATCAAAAAGTGGGCAAAGGACATGAACAGAAACGTTTCAAAAGAAGACAGAATAATGGCTAACAAACTTATGAAAAAATGCTCAACATCTCTAATCATCAGGGAAATACAAATCAAAACCCCAATGAGATATCACTTATCTCCAGTAAGAGTTTCTTTTTATTTCAATAAACTTAGAAGTACAAGTGGTTT